GCGGCGGGCGTCACGGTGGCAGCAGCCTGGACCTGCGTCTCCAACTGCAAGTTCGTTGCTTGCTGCGACGTCCGAAAGTCCTGATGCACACGCTTAATATTGCTGACGTCGTCCTCCAAAACTTGAATGCGGGTGGAAAGGTTGGAAGGCTTTGCGGCTGCTACAGCGGCTGGTTGTTTCTCCAACGCCTGCAGCCGTGCGAGCATCTGGTCCACTGTCTGCTGCAGGTGAAGGATTTCCTCCTGCTGTAGAGCGCAGGTGGCCATGAGGTAGTGAGAGACCTGCGCAAGGGCTGACAGCCCTTTCTCAGTCTCCGGGGCCCCGTCGGCAGATGCCATTTCCACCCAATGTAAGGTCTCATCTCCGATCACGGTCTCCCGCGTGAACAGTCGTTCCCGCTGGCGTGACCGGTGTTCGGCTGCCGCCTGCAGGTCTGCCTCCTCTTGACGAAGTCGGTCCTGTTCCTCCTTCCGTCGCTTGGCCTCCTCTTCTTGCTCAATCTGATTACGTTCCTTGGCCGCGGCGGCGGCCCTATCGTTGGCCTCCTGAATGAATGCCGCCAGGCGTTCCTCGTAGGCCAGGAGGGATTCTCCCGCCTTCCGGTCCATGGTCTTGGTCTGTGATCGAGTGAGCAGTGGCATGCACTGTCGTGCCCGGGAGAGGGGGAGGAACAGGTAGGCAGCAGACAAGTGGGAAGGATCGGACAGATCCCAAATTGAACAGTTTCCTAATATAAAAATAAAATAAAATAAAAAATTTTTGATTAAAAAAATAAATCGAACAATTCGAAAAGAAGACTGTCCAATCCCACTGAGTGCCGAAGGTGATGCAGAAAGCAATTGTGAACCTTCGGTACTCGGACTGCAGAGAAGGAGAAAAGAAAGATCTTTACAAACTCAGAGTAGGAGTAGGTTGCAAAAAGAAAAAAAATGCCGTTTTTTTTTTTTTTTTTGAAAAAAAAAGAACGGAMTTTGCAGACCTACGCAGTGAAAGTGTAGAGGGACATTTTCGGAAAAAGAATCGAATTTGTCAAAATGCAGACATTTAACAATTAAACAAGGTAAAAAAAAAATTATCGGAAAAAGAATTCTCAGAACGAAAAAAAAAAATTCTCGGAAACCAAATATCTCGGAAAAATAATTTTTCGGAAAGAATAATAATTTCTCGAAAAAAAATTCTCGGAAAAAGAAGTAATTTCTCGGAAAAAAATAAATAATTAATTAATTCCGGGAAATTTCCAAGATTAAATAAAAAATTGCCAAATAATCAATCAACTAATTAATCAATCAATCAATCTGCAATCAGACTCAACTTATTCACTCTTTTCATGCACGTGAACAGCAACACACAACTGGCGACATGCGCCCACACCGTACACAGAGATATGTCCTCCAGGTAAGTTCGCTTCCACTAGCTATGGCGACTAAGCGCCCAAACAACTCACTGTTCACACTTTGGATCACCCTGGATGTCCCACACGCAACACTCTGTAACCACACGCAAGACACAAACACACACTACTACAGCTATGGCAGCGCTAGCTGCCACTACCCTATCGCTACACTACACTGCTCTGCCCACTTCGTCTTCGGGCACACTGCAGACCTCCTCGCACAAGCTGCTGAGGCAGCGCTTCCGCATGGCATCCGCAGGAATGAATGAATGGCTGGACGCAGCCTCTTGGTTTATACTTCTGCTCTGCGTTGGTCTGCCCTGTATCCCTTGGCCCACGATGTGCACAGTCCCGGACGGGACTTGCTTGACAGGACCTGACTGGGTTACCTGGGACTGCTGACTGTACTAGGTGGACCTACCACCACTTGACCACTTGCCTCTGCTGAACGCAGGCTAACTCCGAAAGGCCAGTTCTAGAAACCTCTACTTTGGCCTTTCGGTACTGTAGCAGCTACGACCTTGCCCTTTCAGGTACGTAGCGGCTACAACCTTGACTCTTCAGGCAGCCTACAGCTACGACTTTGGAACTGTCTAGACTCCTACCCTACAAGTCTACAGTTCGAATCCTTCCTACCCTGTGACCTACGAAAGTCTACCTACCACTGGCGTTCCTAGAGGTTGCAGGTTCAAATCTACGGGTTGACACTAATACTGTACACAGGTAAGACGGGGAACTAGGGATCGAGCCCTGGGATCTGCATTCGCTACTGCGAATTGGTGAATACCGTTTCAAATCAATCAATCAATCAATCAATCAATCAATCAATCAATCAGTCA